AATACCTCCTCCTCCTGCTGGAGCAGGGGGAGAGATCGCTCGAGGGCCATACCGGACTGTTTCTGGCCATCGCCCATCTCACCAGCTACCCGGACAACGCACTCTGCGCGTTCTATGATGCCAGCTTGAACCCCGCGTGCAGAGCGCCGTCGTCCGAACATGGTCCTCGAGCGGATTTCGCCGCTTTTGTGGAGTGGATACTGGCGAGAAACGGATCCCCGTTCACCGTCCGTTCTGAGGAGGATCTCACCAGTTCCACTCCGGACCCAGAGCCTAGCACACCTTCACCTCATGTGCGGAGCTCAAGCCCGAGCCCACCGCTGACAGAGAGCCCGAGATCACCGCGACCGACGAGCCATCGCCACAAGGGGCGACAGAGCTGAGGATCACGGAGCCGGAGCTGTTTGTAACGTCAGACCAGGTGCGAGAGCCGGCTACCATGCCCGCCACGAGGGAGAAAGCCGTGGCCAGTGAGACCGCGGAGAGGAGCTCCACCCACTGCACCATGGCTGACCATGGGGTGGGGGGGACTGTCACGCCCCTGGACTGTCTGTGTGTGTTTTTGCTCACCATGTGCTCCGTGACCTAGTTTTACCTTGTGTTTGATTGTGTCTCATTTATTCCCTCATTTGTGTTGTGTATTTAAAGTGTTCTGCCCTATGTTTCCTTGTCGGGTCTTAAACATCTATCCCTGTTGTGCTACCTGTGTGTTCCTGCCCTGTATTCCTGGCTCCTGTGTATTATTAAAAACTGTGTTTGTGTTCATCCCGCAACTCCTCGTTCCTCGCTGTAGTGCAACCGTGACAATTTGCTTTCTCATAGATTGGGAAAAGCTGCATTTTATGTTCATAGCACAGTACTGTCACAAGGAATAAGAAGCAGTTATTAAACTACAATGCATTGTAGTGTTAGTTCACCCAAAAATTCTGTCATTAATTACTCACCGTCACATAACTGCACGTTGAAGACTGACATGGAAGAGAAGAAATGGTTGAATAAAGAATTGTTCATAAAATTAAGGTTGAACCACTGATGTCACATGGACTATTTTAACAATGTCCGTACTACCTTTCTGGGCCTTGAACGTGGTAGTTGCATTGCTGTCTATGCAGGGTCAAAAAGCTCTCGGAGTTCATCAAAAATATCTTAATTTGTGTTCTGAAGATCAACAAAGGTCTTATGGGATTGGAATGACATGAGGGCGAGTAATTAATGACAATTTCCATTTTTGAGTGAACTAACCTTTTAATATGGTTTATTTCATGGCATTGTTCAATTCTTTATTCTGAATATTTGACATGTTTATTTGTTATACAACTACACGGCTATGCATTTTCAAAATTCCTAAATTCATAACTCATCCCGCACTATTTGTGCTGCAATCATTAATCATACTTAAAGTCATGTGTCCTCAATTATTCTTTAATTGTTTCTTATGCTTTATGTTGGTTCATGTGACAGACATAAAAGTTATTTCCCGAGAATTAATGTCAGGTAATTTTAGAATAACATGAAGTCAATCTGCTGCCTTCACTCTCTCTTTCTGTTAATAGTTATAACTCCAGTTACAGTGACCTAGTTTGACCCTATAGTCACATGTAGTTGTGTAGTTGCAAACAGTGCATTAATCATAAACTATTTCAATAATTACCATGCAAAAATTACTTATATGCACTTTTACTGTCACTCAGCTGTGGTGTATTTTTTCACCATGACCAACAAATTATTGTGTCATTTTTTTTTCTTTTCTTTTCATCAATTTTCAATTATGGAAAATGTGTTAAAATATGATTTATTATTATTCATTAATAATAATTTATTAATAATTTATTATTATCACATAATATTACTATTTAATTAATATTAAATATTAATATTATGTGAGTGTTTATGATACATGTAATGCTAGCTATGAAAATAACCAAAAACAACAGTATTTCCCTGTAATCCACATTCACTGTTTTACTGACATTTTAATAGACAAATTAAAGAAACTACTGAGTTTCAAAAGTATTTTTAAAGAGAGTTTAATTTCAAAAAAGCATAAGACTAAAAGTGCCCATAGTTCAAGAACCAACCTCATATGCCTGCAGGTTTTCTCTGTGTATATTTTTTATGCACATTTTTGTAAACTATTAGCTACAGCTGTTTCATTGTCCCAACAAGCAAGATTGCTTTGGTAAAACAGGTTATCAGTTTACATTATGCATGTGAGGTGCTGCCTATCACAGTAAACTACCTGGCCAGAAAAGTGCTGAGTGTGATAAATCCAGTACTGCACTGTATGAGGGAGATAAACATTATTCCGTTTAGCTGATCGGATCATAGCGTGAAACAGGAAATGCAAGTAAAAAAAAAAAAAAAAAATTTCAAGAGATTCAAGCCTTACACTATTACTATGAATCACTTCAAAAGTGTGTGTCTTTAAGAAAAAGTGAAATCACAACAGTGGATCATATACTGCATAATCTCTATCCAAATGGGCTGTACTTCTATTGGTTTGTTAACTTCCTCATCCTTTGTAAGTTCATCTGAAAATGTGATTTCATCCCCACTATAAACATAGAAACAAAGACAAGCCAGAGCTAATTAAGTTTGACAAATGTTTTGATCATTATACACAGGATTCATGATCATTATACACAAGGTTAACCATTTTCCATTCATTATGAAAGAAAATAGAGGGAGATCTTGGTTGTTTGGCACAGTATTCATTCTTTGTGAATATCTCTGGAGGACCCTGCATTAACGTAACCCAACCAAGGGCAAATATAAGCTTAAGTTCTAAGATGACAATGAGCACAGATGTCAGACAGTTGTGCACAGTTGTAGCCAAGCCAATGTTCTGATACTGAGCTCTCATGCTCATGGGAAATAAATGTTTGAAGCCAGCTCATGTCATGTTCCATGCCAATATCACAAAACAACTTTTGTTAATTAAATATGAACAACTTCAAATCCCACAAACATTCTATGATCTAAAATGTAAAATGTCATCCTTAATAAGCCAACTGATTTGCAGTAAACTTATATGCAGTATAAGTGCTCTCAAATAGTGGTGAGTCAGACTCATGTTAAACTTTATAAGTTAAACTTTAAAGTATTTTACTGTCACTTCACGCTAAACCTTTTTATTAGTTTTGTGTGTGTGTGTGTGTGTGTGTGTGTGTGTGTGTGTGTGTGTGTGAGAGAGAGAGAGTATATATAAGTGTATGGTAATGTATGGAATCTTCGGCTCTTCATCTTAGTCTGATTCTTTATTTTATATTTTATTTTACCTTATTATTATTTTTAAAGCAAAATATCTCTAAGTGCACCTTTAACATGAGCACATCCTTACTGCCATTTAATCTTACCTTAAAAAGAAATAGTATGAGTTGTTCTCCATGACACTGTAGGAGTAGCAGGGGAAATATCCCAACCCGCTGACATTAAACCTGGACCCGGCAGGCACTTCCAGCATGCTGCCCCATGCCTGATCGCATAGCAGCTCGATCTCCGCGGAGAAGAATAGATCCGTGTCGTACTGCCACGGCAGGTAGTTGTACACGCTGTAAGACTCCTTATGGAGTGCGAGCACCTTGGCAAAGACTATGATCTCCGCCAGCTCTGCGCGGCACGCTTCCGTCTGAGGTCTCCAGTCGTGGGGCAGTTGGCATCCCCATGATGCGCTCAGTGAGAGCGCTAATATTAATGCCAGTAGAGTGCCCATGCTATGCAACCTTACCTTACTCGTGCAAACTGCCTAAAATAAAAGCAATTCCGCGCGGTTCACTCTGATGTTCCTCTAGAAAAAAAGACTCATCCGGGTCCGCGTAAAACGCAGAAATGTAATATTCAAACTCTCAAATGCAGTAAAAGATACGCGTTGATATTAAATACAGTTTAAAACTGTTTTTCTCTAATTTAGGTATAATGTATATCTGTGAATTTAGACTGATCTATATGTCTTATTCCTTTCCATTCTTCCCTGTGCGCTCTGTGTATTACGCTGCGCGGTTAATGGAGAACACTTTAGTGACGCTCAGCTGTATTACATCTGCCGCAGAAAACAATCGCAAGAGCTTCAGTTCTGGTTTAATTTCACGCCTGAGCAATGTGCGCTCCAAAAAATCAGTGAAAAACAAGTATTATTATTATTAATATTATTATTATCAACAAAGTATAACACCGAGTTTTCAATACAGCAACATGATCTTCTGTCACTTGGTGTCACTTTATTATTATTATTAAACACGTTACATTAAATAATGTCCATATTAAATAATTTCCACCACAAAGTGAACTGAAAATATTCTTAATGTAGAGCCAAAAAATATTATGAAACCATTAATATATATTCATACTACAGTTATTATAAAATGTTACCAGATTAAACACATACTCAGCCCTTACGTCATGCATATGAGGTTTCCACATCTTTAACTCATTTTGTTTCCAGTTTGGCTTTGCTGTGAGGAAATACATAGTGACAGACCCTGATCAGCCAGACCAATAAATCTTTCAATATTTGGCCATTTTCAGATTATTCTCATATCATTGCAAATAATCATCAACACTTGGATGGCTAAGATATGTGTCAGTTTCAAAATGTACTGAGAGTTTTGTCAAAGGATATTGCACATTTCCTGTCCCCCCCCCCCCCCTAATAA